CAGTGGCAGAGCGCTCGCCTAGCACGTGCAAGGCACTGGGTTCGGTCCTCAGCACCACATATAAGTTAATAAATAAATAAAGGCCCATCAGCAACAACAGCAACAACACAGACCAGTAGGTGACATCGCTGAGACAGCGACAGGGCAGGACCTGAGAACAGCCACCACACACTCCCACAAGGAGAGCGCAGCCTCGCAGAGGAGAGGTCCAACCAGGGAGAGGTGCTGCAGGGAAGAGCCTGGTGGAATTTCAGAACTAAACACGGTGAGCAAACAGACAGTGCGGGGAGCGCCCCCCGCCGACGCAGGGTCGGCATCAGCCAACAGGAAGACGACCGCGGGGAGCTACCCTTCCGAAGGACACCCAGACAATGACAGGTCCTCAAGGACAAGAAGGTGAGCACAGAGGGGAGACAGACTCAGTGCCACACTTCCTGCTGCCTGGAGCGCTCTTGGCTGTGCGCCAGGGCTGGAGCCTCACAACACCCCGTGGCTCTAAACGTGGGCGGAGGAAGCAGGGAGCCCACAGAGTCCCACAGGGAGAGCCACTGAAGGCCGTCCCCACTTCACTCCCAGGTACCTCGCCCCCCAGAGACCCTAGGAGGGGCACCCGAGCAACCCAAAAAGCCCACAGCGATGCTGGGAAACAGGAATGGATCACACGTATAAAATGTTTAAGGCACATAGATAGATCAAAATAAACTTCTACAAACACCTAAGAAGTGCCCAGGGCAGTGGGAAAAGGAAAGAGACGAACAAGAAAACAGAAAACAAACCAGACGGCAGCTTGACCCCTCGCATCCGCGGCCTACGTTCTGAAAAGCCCAGCTGGTCAGGGGTGAGCCCATCCACAGGACTGAGGCCATCAGGACAGACGGAATTTCATGCTGAGAAATCACTGCGAACCTCAGGGCGAGAGCCGTTGAAAGTAAAGGACGAGGACAGGGACACCATGCAGGCACTGACCAGAAGGAGGCGGGGTGGCCACGTCAGCATCAGCCAAGGGCACGACCAGAGACGGAGGGGTCCCTGCACGAGGACATCGTCCCCCATCAGTCGTGGACACCACCCCTCATCGACTTACAGACGCCGGTCCCCAGGTTAAAAAGCCAGCATATTCTCTGTCCTTTCTGGATCCCATCTTGGTCAGGAAGGCCACCCTCCATTCCAAGGCTATGAATTGTCCTCTATTTTCTTGTGAGGATTTACTTTTACATGCAAATCTTAAATCCATCTGATTCTGAATCCGGAAACTTTCTACCTTTAAACAGTAAAAAAAGGTCTTTGTAGGGGCTGGGGCTGGGGCTCAGTGGCAGAGCGCTTGCCCCACGTGTGTAGGGCACTGGGTTCGATCCTCAGCACCACATAAAATAAACAAATTAAAAAAAAAAAAAGGTGTTTGTAATATTCATGTAAAACGCTGTACAACACGACTTAGGAATGTCCCGCCTCCTACCTGACCACGCACCCCCGGAGGGAAGGGGAGCAGAGGACAGGGCACCCCTACTGCACAGCCCCGGGTGGAGATGGTCCGAGAGCCAGGAACCAGCATCAAACAATGGACGCTGACACAGAGGGAACTCAGGACACCAGCAGGGACAGCACCGCTGCACTCCTGAGACACTGGCAGAGGGGCACCCCCCCCTCCACTGCATGCACAGACACCTCAATCAAGTTGTTCTTTTAAAATCATGTTTTAGCCTGGCAACCATGGTGCACACCTCAGCTCCTTGGGAGCCGCAGCTGGGGCCAGTCGGCTTCAAGTTCAACTAGCCACCCACTTTGAGAACCTCCCCACCCCGGTTTCCTGTTTTCAGTCTGCCCTACTTCCGACCAGGCCCGGTCAGGGGAGCACTGCCGGCTCAGCCTTCTCAATGGAGGCCTCCGCCGGCAGAGCCCCGCCCTCCGCGCTGCTAGTCCTTATCTCTGCTGCGGGGCCCCTGTCACTTTCCCAGCTGGGGCCTGGGGAGGAGTGTGTGCCTGGGTTCAGAGCCCGCTCCCCACTGCACACCAAGTGCAAGCGACTCTTAGCTTCCGGTTTTCAATCTGAAATAGGAGAAAATGAAAGAGCAGATGAAAGACCTGGGTAGCCTCCCCGCCTGGTGCCGTGCCCCAGCCCATCCCTGGATTCCAGGGCTGCCTCCTGAGTCCTCTCACACCCTCTGGGAGCCTGGTTTTGCACAATCTCCCCCTCCCATCACCGACCCAGTCAATCCAGGTGTGTCTGCACCTGGGAGGGGCAGGGCCAGGAGCACCACCCACTAACATTAATTGAATGTCCTGTGAGTTGGCTCACAGTCTGCCCTACTGACCCTACTGACCTCAAATGGAGAACAATCTAACTCGGGCCTGCAGAATCAGCAGGAATGAAGCAGTGACCTCTTCAGCAGAGAGGAAGGGCAGCTGGCGGTGGAAGCACTGTCCACCAAACCAGCACCACACCAAATCCAGAATCTGGGGACCGGAGACTGCACTAGTGGCTGGCCACGTGTGCCACACAGAACAGCAAGCAGCTGCTTCCCACCCACACATGCCCCTGGAGGGGCTCCGTCCACGTCCACACGGCTGCTCAGGCCCAGGGGAGGCCAGATGGCCAGTGGGGAGGAGCGCGGTAGCTGGCACTGGGTCCGGGAGCCTGGCACCCTGCCGGGGCGGGCTCTTCAGGCCCCTGAGCTCAGTCTCTTCCCTGCTGAAACTAGGAGTGGCTCCCCACAGCAGCCACGGAGTCCAGCATGACAGGGCAGAGGCCCTGCGGTGTGCACTCAGTGGGCGCTCGGGGAAACCTACCCTCGCTGAAGCCAGAGGCTTTCAGGAAAGGGCGACCCACTTGGGCCCCAGGCCAGACATCAGTGTCACGGGCAAAAAAACAGAGAAGTGCGCCCTGGAAAGTGGTGTTGGGAGGCCGGGAGTGACGTCTGAGCACCACCTTCTCCCAGAGGGGACATGAGGAATGGGAACCAGACCAGTCTCAGCCACTCGGCCACAGACAGGCTCTCCAAGCCCACAGCTGCTGGAAATCGGGCGCAGGTTGTGGCTGCCCCTTGACTGACCCCACCCAGTTCCCCTGGGTTCCCAGTCCCACGGCCCTGACTGCCCACCACAGACACCGGGCTGGGCTGCAGCTCAGCGCACCGGCTCCAGGCCTAGCCGCTCGAGGCCCTGGATTTGGACCCCGGGGCTGCAAAATGAATTTTAAAAAGGCATCTCACACTCGGAGCGCCAGCAGAGCACGTGACCACCACTGTCAGCCCCACGATTAGAAACAAAACCCTCATCTGCCAGCAGGGCCCTCCCCAGGTCTCGACCGCCAGTCCCTCCACGCGAACCCTGTGGCCACCACGATCCCCACCTGAACTGGGCCCAAGGCCTCCCAGGTCACCTGCCTCATCCCTCCTGTCTGTTCTCCTTGCAGAGCCACAGGAATCCTTTGAAAAGTTAAATTGATTACAACCTTCCAGGGACTCCCATTCCACTCACAGTAAAGGCCAGTCCCCACTTGGCCCATAAGACCTCAGGGGACCTTGCTCTATTTTATCCCCCCCACCAACACACATACATGGCCCTCATTCCTGTCACATGGGCCTCTTGGTGTCTCAGGGCCTTTGCACTTGCCACTTGTTGTTCTGCTTCGTTGCACTGATCCCTCCCTGTCACACAGAGTGCCCATCTCTCCAAGTCTCATCAAAGAAGACATGTATTTGAGGACCACTGGACCATCCTGTGCCAGAAAGCAATCACCCCGCCTGGTCAACCTGGACGCTGTCTCTGTGGGGCTCTTCTCCCCGGGGGCCTAGCTCCATCAAACACACCTGTCTCTGTCCCCGTTTCTCCTCTAATGGAAAATGCCCCACTGTAGCAGTGGCCCATGTCCTACAGGACCGGCCTGGCCCATCCTCAACAGGCACCCAGTGCAAACCTCAGGGGCAAGCGCATGGCTCAGTGGTGAGGCCCGCACTTTGCATGCCCCAGGCCGGGTTCCATCCCTAGCACCAGAAAGAAAACAAAAACAAAAACTGGCAGAAGAGGGAATGGATGAAGCTCACCACCCGGCACTCGGGCCTGGTTTCCTCTGCTTTGCTCATTGCTGCTCGCCCTGTCCAGTGGCCACCTTCTATAATCCCCCTTCCTCCTGGGGCCAAATGACCTCTCCTTTATAAGCCTCTGCCAATCTGTCGGCCACCAGACAACACTGCACAAGGGCCCAGGGAGGGCAGCCTGGGTCCTCTTTCACGCCAGCCACTGCACCAGGGCCCTCCAGGGTGGGGTGTTTTTTCATGTTTAGCTACATTAGGTTTCTCCAAATCCCCAGGTCCTCAAGGTGGGCAACCTCTTGCCCCCAAACCACCCCACCCCCAAGCAGGGAGCACATCCCAACAGGTCAAAAGCCCCCTTCTCACTAGGGCAAGTTCCCACCCTGCGAGGTGCCTCTCCTTTTGAGATCCCTGCTAAATAGGAGCATCCGTCCTGAGGTTTAACCGAGATGGGGGAGGGGCCTGGCAGCCCCTGGGGACCCCTCCATGACCAATCTCCTAGCTCTGACCAGGGGACAGATCCCCGCTGTCCACTGGCTAGAGGGCCCCCAAGGGGGGTCTCCACCACAGGGGGGGTGGGGGGCTACCAGCGCTCCCCCTTCCCATCTTCCTCTGACATCTTTCTCTCCTTGAGGCTCATCATAGTCCTGGTCCCTGGAGTGTATGTGCCCTCTGCCTGGGGACAGTTCCCTGCCAGCTGTCGCCAAGCACCCAGGCATCCCCTTTCCCATCCCCGTCCCCAGTCCTCTCTACCCCCAGTCCCTTGGCCCTTACCATCCCGTTCCCCGCCCCCCATCCAGGTCCCCCCACCCTGGTCCCTCTGCCCTCCCCATCCGGTCCCCCATCTCGGTCCCCCCATCCGGGCCGTCCGCCTCCACCCTCAGGGCCGGCCCTGCCGGAGCTCGGGCGGCGCAGGCCCCGGGCGGACGCGGCTCCGGATCCCGCCGGACCCCGGGCGGCCACACTCACCCGCGCCGGGCGCGTCGGGCCCGGGCCCCGGGCTCGGCCACCAGCGCAGCAGCGCCCGCGCGGGCTCCAGGCTCACGGCGCAGCGCTGCCGCTTCACCCACAGCACGGAGCGCAGCGGCTCCGCCGCCCCCATCGCCCCAGCGCGGCCGGCGCGGCCTGGTCGCCAGGCGGGGGGCGCGCGGACGCCGGGGGGCGCGGGACCGTTAGCGGCCCCTGCAGTCGCCGGGGCGGCGGCGCGGGCAGGCGGAGGGGAGGCGGCGCTGCGTCACCCCGTACGCAGGCGGCGGGCGGCGGGGACCCGGGACGGCGCCGGGAGGGGACGCCGCGGGCCAGGTGCGGGCTGGGGAGCGGCCTGGGTGGGCGCGCCGGGAGGGGGCGCGGGGGACAGGAGGGGGCGGGACACGGGGGACAGGAGGGGGCGCGACGCGGGGGACAGGAGGGGGCGGGACGCGGGGCGGGAGGAGGACGTGGGCGGGGGTCAGGGGAAGGGGTCTGGGCGGGACGGGGTGTCAGAGGAGGGGACCTGGAGACAGAGTGGGCCTGGGCAGGGTCGCAGCGCAGCCAGGTGCGCTGGCAGCAGCGAGGGCAGCGGCCGGGGCAGCGGCGCAGGCGACCCTCCAGCCCAGCTGGACGCCGGCGGAGCTCAGCAGCGTCTGCCCGGAGGGCGGTAATGACGGGCGGGGTCGGGGCGGCGCAGAAATGCTGCCTGGCAGCGGTGCGCGGGCGTCCGGGGCCGCCGGCCGGGCTGTGGGGCCCCCCGCAGCGGCGTGACCTTGGGCGTCGGTCCTCTTGGATCCCTGGTATCCTGTGGGCCCGGGAGGGGCCTGGCGCTTGGCAGGGAAGGCTTGCTGGAGAAGGAGGTCTCCTTCCCAGGGGCAGAGGGAGCAGGCCCTGAGGACAGCTCTGGAGCCTGCCATCACTAAGGAGACAGTGCAGGGGGACCCAACATCAGCTGACCCCTCCCCTCCTGAGCAGGCCCAAAGGACGAGAGCACAGAGCCTGAGAGCTTTGTGGAATCATCACCCCTGGGGCCCTGGAGTCTTCTGTCTCATTATCCAGCCAGAGCAGCATCCTCTTCCCTGGGAGGTGTCCTTGACCCCAGATAAAGGGACCCCCAGCACTACATAGGCAGGCGCTGCCGCCCGCCTGCCCTGTAAGCATGTCTGTCCCCTTTCATGTCCATCTCTGTCCCCAAGGTCAGCACATAGTAAGCACTCAAATACTGCTTTAGTGGGTATATCTATTTCTGACTTGTCAATGAGGGGTCTTCAGCTCAGACATTCAGGAACTTGTCTGAAAGTACAGGGTTTCTTGCTGGCACAGTGGCAGTTGCCTGTGATCTCAGCGACGCAGGAGTATGGAGTATCACAAGTTTGAGACCAGCCTCAAAAGGCTGGGGGCACTAAAGGAGTAGTTCAGTGCTAAAGCACCCCTGGGTTTAATCCTTAGTATGGAGAGAAAAAGAGCCCAGGTTTCTGGCTTGGCATAGCCAGGGCTTGCCTCAGAGTCTTGCTCCAGGACTGACAGGAAAGCCTGTCCTCCCCCTGAGCTCTTTGTGTCCAGCCCTGGTGCTGTGGATGGAGGTGGGCAGGCCAGGGCTGGGGCCTGGATGCCGTGCCTGGCACTGGGTGGCTACATGTACAGGTCTGATCCTGCCAGCTCCCTGGGCCTGTCTACAGAGCAGGAACAGCTATGAATCATTGCTCCCTAGGAGCCCAGCTCCCACTCAGGCCAGTTGCAGCCAAGGCCCTAGGACAGTCCTGCAGCTTGGGATGGGCCCAGAGTTTGAACCACACCCTTGGGCAAGCTGGACCTGATCTCCCAGGGCAGTGGGTGGATGGCAGCAAGGCCTGCCCTGCTTCCTCCCTCCCACACTACTGCTCTGAGCTTTGGGAAATATGGATATGAAACCTCTTTGGAAACCTCATGCCAATGTGAGACTGACTGGGGCAAGTGCCAAGGCTGCTATGTGTGGAGGGGTTTCCAGGCAAGGCAGAGTGGGCAGGGGCTTGGGAATGCCAGCCTCCCTTCTGGAGCCTCTTCCTCCTCCTCCCTGTGGCCAGGGACTTTCAGCTTCTTCACGTTTACTCATTCAGTGTCCTACATTGGCCACAAAGTCTTGCAGCCGGCTCGGGAGGCCCAGAGCCCAGGTCTCAAGGAACTGCGTCCAGGGAGATGGCCACATCAGCCACCAGACACTAGTGGAGCTCTAAGCAGCACCCTAGTGTGATATGGTCCTAGGATAGACCCTGCCCTTCTTCACCCAGAGGACTCAGCCGCTGGCCAGGCCCAGGGTCTTTCAGTGGCTGCTCTGGGCCAAACTGCATCCCCTTAAGTCCCAGTGCCTCAGAGCATGACCATCTGGAGATCATTAGTGGGCCCTGCCCAATCTGGTGTCCTCATAAGAAGGGAAAATTTCAACACACACAGAGACATCAGGACAGGTGTACCCAGAAGAAGATCCTTCTAAGAGGCAACAAGAGAATGGCCATCTGCAAGCCTTGGGACACCAGCCCTGCCAGCTCCTCGGTCTCGGACCTCCAGCCTCTGTGAACCATGAGGCATAAAACTCCGGCCTTTGAGCCGCTGAGGCTGAAGGTGTGCTGTGGAACCCAGGTGGCGATGGCAGAGGCCTTTCAGCCTGGGCACCGTCATCCAGAGACTGGGTGGAGCGGGGCCTCCAGAGCAGCACCCTGCTTCTGCTCAGGAGGAGAAGGTGAGCTAATGAAGGATGTATTTTCAGGGGAGGCACTTCCCGTAGTTGAGATGGTTGGTGTTGGACAGGGTCAGGTCCTCTGTGGGGCCTGGTGTTGGACAGGGTCAGGTGCTGTGAGCCATGACTGAACACAGCACCAGAATGGAGGGAAGGAGGCTGCTTTGCCCAGAGCAGCTGCCAGACCTCCACTGTGTTGGGTCCCCTGGGGCCAACAGGAACCAGGTGTGAAGGCAACCGGCAGAGCAACAGCCAGCCAGTGGACAGTGTCATGCCTGGAAGGCCTGCCTCTGCGTTAGGCTGCACCCAGCTCCCCCGAAGCCTCCAGCCACCTGGCTCACCGCTTCCCTGGAGGGCGTCTGTCTCCCATGCTGGGCTCTGGCCATGATGCCCTTCCCACACGTCTGCCTGGGAGACCCTGCTCACTTCCTTAGCCACATCTCCCCTTCAGCTTCAGAGGCCCCTGGCAGTGGGCTCCAGGGTGCTTCTGCCCGGCTGCCACAGGGCGTCACCTTTGCCTGTGTCCCTGCAGCACAACCAGTGTCCCAGCCTGCTGCTGCCCTGGTGTGGGTGCAGCTGGAGCCTAGGCCTACATGGGTGAGAGGCACCCTGAGCTGCAGCTAGACCAGTGGCCTGGCTTTAGCCCAGCAGCCCACAGCCCTGATGAGTCAGACCCTGCCCAGCCTCCATCACTTGAGCAGTCTAGAGACTGGGGACACTGGGGTGTCCAGCCTTGGCCAGCGCCCTCTGTCCCTAGTGTCCAGGGTCTCTCATGTGGGCCTCCTGGACCCTGAGGTCCTCTCTAGGGATATACATGACCACTTCAGATTCACTAGTGTCCCACCCTTTGGGTCATCCACACTAGAGGCTCCCTGGCCAACAGCAGCAGCAGCCAGCACTGTCCCTTCAGTGGCCTCTGACCTCCTTCTCCCCTCTCATCCTGGAGCCCTGCCCTTGTGTCCTAGAACGATACTGCTTGCTGAGCTCCCAGGCCTCCTTCAGCAGGACCATTGGACATCAGAAACTGGAAGACTTCTGTGGGGGCCTGACTCACCTCTGCCCAAGGCTGCCAGCCATGCTGCCCTCTGCCTCTGCCTCCAGAAGGAGTCTTCAAGCACCTTCCGTCAAAGCCCACTGCCTGCAAGGAATGTCCTGGGCCCTGAGAGGCCCGCACATTTGGAGAGTGAGTTGATGGTTACAGAATGCACGTCCCTGTGCTGTTAGGTGAAGGGAGGAGAGTAATTCGCTGGAAATGGGTAGCTTTTTTCCTTTTTACAGACCGAAAAACTGAGATCTGCAAAACTGAATTGACCTGCCCAAGTTATACAAAAAGGAAATTAGATGGGTGAGCACTGCAGGCTCTCTGCCCCAGGTGGCAGGGGTCACACTGCCACAGGACTATCTGACATGAGAGGGCAGAAGGTGACAGCCTTCCATCAGTGCCCTAGGCAGGCCTTGCTGCCTGGGGACTCTGTGGGACATCCCTTCAGCCCTCAATGGTGTGCAGGACAGTTCCACCTGAGCTGCTTTCACAGAAATAGTTCTGCCCACCCTGACTTATCCTGTGCATCTGGGAAAGCCTGGGTCCAGGGTGGAGCGCAGGTGTTCCTCCTGGGGCAGTTGCCTGAGGGCAGATCTGAGCTGGAAGGGCCAGTGAGGTAGGGCCAGGAATCGGGCTTCTCATGCACCTGGGGAGCTGGGGTAATGCCATACCCAAGGCTCCAAAGGCCAGCAGTGGCTCAGGTTTGTGAGATCCCCAGATCTGCTTCTGTGACCTCTGCAGTTGAGCACAGTCAGGATGCCTGCTACTCTGCTAAGTATTAGCTCATGTAATCCTCAGGTTTTACTAACTTCCAGGTAAAGAAATAGTCCCTAAAGTTTAGGTGACTGGGCCAGGCATAGGACTGGGAAGGAACAGAACTGTCAGGTTCAAAGCCTGCCTGCTTCACCACCTGCCAGCATGTTGGCTCCCTGGGAAGCATCCTAGGATTGGACCAATCTACTGTCCTCAGAGAAGGATGTCTGCCCTGCACCAGCCCCTCACTAGGAAAGAGGCGTGTTCCTACTGGGTGAACTCAGGGCCCCTCAGGGCAGGAGGGAAGTTCCTCCTTCCTGTCCTTGCAGCTAGAAGAAAGATGGACAGCTTCATGGGTCCATGGTACACAGCATTGTTAGAAGAGAAGAAAGACCAAAAGTACTGGCCGACACCTTGTGTAGAAAAGAGAAAACCTGCTTCAAACAAACTCGGGAACGTGGAGATGAATCCCTCTAAAGGAAGGACAGTCTTAGAGCATACAAAACAACCTGTGTGCAGTCAACAAACTGCAAACGGTAAGTATTGGATCCAAAAATAAAAGCAAAAACTAACAACAAATTAAATAATAAAACAACAAAAAAGCAAAAAAAAAAAAAAATATATATATATATATATATGTATATAAAAATATCAGGAAAAAAAGCAAAAAGCACCTCAAAAATGGATCCCAGGGTGATCTTAGAGATGTACTGAAATGGGCTCCCAAGAAGACCAAAGAAGACAAAATGCCCTGGCCCCAAGAAAAACACACTCAAAGTGATCCTGCAGTGATGGTGGCAGAGAAGGATGGTGCAAGGCTCCGAGAACCCCAGGGCCAACGGTGCCCCACCCCCACCTCACAGTTTGCCAGGAAGTGGGAGGGGAGCCTGAGGAGCCCAGATGAGGGAGCAGGGAGCTCCCCTCCTCAGACAGGGAGCCCTCCTGAGAACAGTGCTGACCCTGGAAACCAGGGGACCTTGCTCTGCACGCCACCTTCTGCAGCCTAAGATGCAGCTCAGGGCACCGGACTCCTTACCTCTTCCCTGATCTCCCTCGATGCTTCCTTCCCCGTTGTCACTGGGCCTAGAAAACCCTCCTGGTGTCCCCTTCCTGCCTCTGTGCCTATCTGTCCACCCGTTGGCCTTTCCCAGTGGATGGTCTTAGTCTAGCAGGGGGAGAGTGAGTGGTGAGCTGTCTGCACTCTGTACTGCAACCCTTCCCAGCTCCTGTGGGTCAACCTTGGGGTTGGCCTCCCCAGCTCTGGTCCTCTGGCCCCTGCCCCACCCTTGGGTGCCAAGTCCCTGCCCCACCCTTGGGTGCCAAGTCCCTGCTCTTCTGGGAGTCTGACCTTGTCCTTCCAAGTGCTACATGCCATGTGCTGGGGAAGCATGGGGACAGGTCGGCCTGCATGCAGCCGGTGGGCCTGCGACAAGGTACGGAAGGGTGGAAGGTGATGGTTGCAAACCAGAAGGCCCAAGGGGCCAGGGGCCTAGTCTTTCTCATTTTGGGGTCCCTGGTGCCAACTCAGAGCCTGGAGAATTGTAGATACACAATAAAAGATTGTTGAATGAATAGTAGAAGAAAATACAAGCACAGGAAGCCAGGGGAGCGATTCCCCCCTTTAGTCCTGGATGTTGAGCCGCGGACCTGGTGTGTGCTTATGAGTACCACACTACTGCTTCAGCCCCGGCCCTTTTTATGTTTATCATTTGTTTGTTTGTTTTTTGGTACCAGGGATTGAACCCAGGGGTGCTTAACCACTGAGCCGCATCCTCAGCCCATTTTATTTTTCACTTTGAGACGGGGTCTTGCGAAGTTGCTTAGGGCCTCACTAAGTTGCTGAGGCTGGCTTTGAACTCCGGATCCACTGGACTACAGGTGGCTGCCATGGTGCTGGGCTCCAGTGAAGCAATTGTGAGACCACATTGAGTTTAAATCGGGGTTGTTTACAGAAACACTGATGGGGACAGACGTTAGGACACCGTGGGGAGGGAGGCCGACCAGGCAGCTCCTGCATGCCACAGCTGACAGAGCTGCTCAGCTCCAGCGTTGGCTGCCGTGTGGGAGCGTGGACCCTTGTCCCCGGTCTCAGAGCTGTCAAGAGAAGCCAGAAGCCCACATTTTTATGTGAGCTCTTATGATTTTTAAATCTTGCAATTAATATGATTCTGAAATAGGGCATATTTCTCAGGATAACACGGTGGGATGACAAAGCCCAGAGGCAAGCCAGAGGAATTCAGAGGCCCTCCGTTTGTGGCCTTGTCTTAAAACTTCAGAGAGTTGAGCTGGACTGTAAGGTTGTTATTTGTAATAGAGACCGATGAATGCATCTTGGCGTCGTGTGCATGTGTGTGCCCCAAACAGTGAAGAAACAAAACCACGGGGGAAGGCTGTTAGAAACACAGGAGGAAGTCAGACACACACACTAGGTGGGCGTGGGCTCGGCAGGCCGCTCTGGGAGGTGGCACCCTAGTGCACAGAGCCCAGAGTGCTGAGCTCACCCCAGAGACAGGAGCAGGCAGCACATGGGAGCTGTAGCCCCAGCTGCAGTGGGGTAGGGGACAGGCCAGGTCAAGGGAAGGGCCTGGGTAACCGGGACCTAGAGAAAGTCACTGGCCAATAGTGGCCAGGCCACAAACCTGAGCCCAGCCTGCAGCCTACCTTTGTTGGACGTAGCACACATGCCATACAATTCACCTCTTGAGGTCACAGCCCTTTGGCTATCAGTGGATTCACAGATGTCAGGCCACCACCAGCATAGGTGACTTCAGAACACTTTCTTCTCCCTGGGAAGGATGCCTGTGCCCATTCTGCCCTCCACCTGCCCTGTGCAGACACTAACCTGCTTTCTGCTCTATGGATCTGCCTGTTCTAGACACTCCATATTAATGGAGTCATCCCACCCAGGGCGTTGTGCAGGCTAGGCTGGTGAGCCACATCATGGAGCCTCACCCCCAGTCCCAACACGTGGCCTTTGTATCTGGCTTCTTCCACCCAGTGCCTTAGTCGATTCCTGCTGCCATGGTAAAATACCTGAGGCAGGGGGTTTATGAGAAGAGACAGGTATTGCTCACGGTTCTGGAGGCCAGGAAATCCTGACGGAAGCAACAGCGGGTTGGGTGTCTTTGTGAAGTGCCGTACCTCACAGAGGGTGCAACTGGCTGTCCTCATGTGGCAGTAGCCTACTGAAGGTGAAACGTTTCTCACTGTGGGTGTTTGTTTTTGTGACAATAGGGATCTAACCTAGGCCCTCATGCATGCAAGGCAAGCACTCTACCTCTGAGCTACATCCCCAGCCCTCACAGTGGCCTTGATTTCTATTTTCTCTGTTGACTAATGCTACGGAACATCTCCCCATGTGCTGGACAGCCATTTATACATCTTCTTTGGCAAAATGTGGGCATTGCCATCATGCACGTGGTTCTCTATGTGGTACCTATTTCAGGTCTCAGCCCTGTCATGATTACTGCTATTTTGTAAAAGCACTGCTGTAGAGCTTTCTGACCCAACGCAGCCTCCACCACTGGTTCTCTAGACCCCCACTGTGTGTGGTGCTGTCACCCCAGCAGTGTAGACATCACTAATCACCGTGGCACTCAGAGATTCATCTACTGGGTCCCAGGGGATGGCCAATGGGACAGGTTTCTGTCTTGAGGGATGATCTCACAGAGATGAGAAAAGACATGAATGGACCTCGGTCTTCAAGTGCTGCACTAGAAATCTGCAGAGGCAGTGTGGGGTCCACGTGGGGTGCATTAGTTCTCCCAGAAGGATATTCCACCAGAGGTGGCTGTGGAGATTTGGGAGTCTAATCAATAACAGCCCAAGTATCCAGAGTTGGAAAGTGACAGGTGTTGGCAGGAGTGTGGAGGACCGGAGCTGTGGAGCTTCACTGGAAGGAAGGAAAACGTGCAGCTACTGTGGGGAGCAGGGCGGCTCCTGAATAGCTGAACGCAGACCACGTGAGCAGGTGATCGAGTGCGAGCAGGGACTCTCCAACTTGTGAACTGTTCAGAGTGGCACCAGTCACAGTAGGCAAAGGCAGAACCCGTCGAGTGTCCATCAACAGATGAGTGGACAAACAAGATGTGGCCTGTCGCCCGCCGGCCACCAAGAGGAACAGAGCTCTGACACACGCTAACAATGGATGATGCTGAGGGGCAGGTCCCCGCCCGACTCCAGGGACTCCCTGCTCTGGCTCTGAGTGTTTGGGGGCTCTGCGGGGTGGGCTTCCATGACTTCCAGGAGAGCCCCCCCCCCCAGAGGAGGCACACCCAGGTATCCCAGGCTGTCTCGGGCGACCAGCTCCTCCTGCTTTCAGTGCTTCAAGTCCCACGTTCAGGGAGCCTTTCTGTTCCAGGCTCTTGGCCACCCTAGTTGTCCTGATTCCAGGCTCGGGGCCTTCCCAGGGTTGGAGCCAGGCGGGCTGGCCCTGGGCCATGGAGCTCTTTCTTTGTTGGACTCCTGTGGGTGGCACCAGGAGGGTGACCTCTTTCAGGCTTAAGCTGAAGTAGAACAGTGGTGCCAATTAGCAGAGCCTGCGAATGGGCCATGGCCTCTCTGCTGACGTCCTGGGACATGGAAAGTTCTTCGCGCAATCTTCTTTCCCTGGTGGGTGCAGTGGTGAGGATGGCCCCCCTCCGTGGGGACATACGCTTTTTCACTGGGTTGGGGGCAAGGCTGGGACAAGAACCTGCATGTTTCATGTGCTCCCCAGGTGATCTGGACACAGGGGGTCCTCAGATTGCAGAGCCAGGCACAATAAGAGGCTTGCCTTGCTCTGTCCCACCCAAGGACAACGCCCTGAACCTGCTCTGCACCAAGGCCCAGGCCTGGGCATTTGCTTGCACATGACCCCCACCTCCCAGAGGGCAGCTGAGAGGTCAGTGCCTGGATACAGCCTGGCGGAGCTGGGAGGGCTGCTGCTACTGCTGCCTCTGTGAGCCAGCCTTTGCCCCTGTCCATTCCAAACTTTGGCCTCTGGCACAGGGGGACGGATGCAGTAAGGGAAGAGCCCTGGCTGGGAGCTGAGGAACCTCTGTGGTCCAGGTTGTGCTCTGCCGGCTAGTCAGGTGAGCTTGGCCGTTTCCTTCCCCATGTTCAGTCCCCTTTCCCTTGAAAGCAAACTTGAGGGTTGAGGGAGCCAGATGCTCTCTCAGGGTCTGACCTGCTGACAGTAGGGCCTGGAATGTGCTTCTTGGAGGCCCCTCACATGACCTGGCTCTCTGTGGTCAGGGCCCAGGCTGCTCTGCTCCTCCCATAGGCAACTACTGAAGGATCTGGAAGAGGACTGACCTGTCTTGGAACTGACCCTCTGACTCTGCAAAGTTCCTGCAAACCCCCCTGGAGCCAGGGGTAAGAGGGGGAGCCAAGAGAGGCCTCCTTCCTTTGTACCTTCACCTGCCCTCTTCCTGAGACAGCTGCCCGCTCTGCCATGCCTTTTCCTCCGTCTCTGTCCTGTGTCCCTCCTCCTCATGGGGTCTGCTCACTGTCAAGAGTGGAAGGGTGGGCCTGGGTACAGCACAGCACATGTGTAGCATGCAACAGGCCCCGGGGTTCCATGCGCAGCATCACAGACAAAACAACAACACGTCGAGGCCTAACAGGAATAACTCTGCCTGGGAGTCAGGGACCTAAGGCTGCTTGCCTTATATGTAACCTTGGTTTCTAGACCTCAGCCTGCCCATGTGCAAAGTGGGGGTGCAGGAGGATGAATCTAAGGTGCCCACCTGCTCTGACTCTAGGCTCCTTGGACTCCTCCTCAGCCTCCAGTCATTGGGCGATGTCTGCTGTTTTTATTATTAATTTTTAATCTTGCGACTTCCCTGGGAGCGTCATGTAGGAAGGGCCAAGTCTCGAGGTGCACAGAGCTTCCTTTGTCTCAGGCCTAAGCTTTTGCAGAAAAAAAAAGAAAAAGAGAAAGAAATCTACCCTTTCATTTACCCTCTTCCTCTCCTGATAAGGAAACAGCCTGCGGCGAGGATGGCCGAGCTTCACGGTGTCAATTCAGAGCCATAGGAAGGTACTTAGGAAAGATCCTCCTCTGCCAGGCTGCCACCGTCCTCTTGGCCGCGGCCTCCAGGGGGGCTGTGGGATCAGCTGACACTAGGGCAGGAGTTCTCTCCAGGAGCTGCAAGTTGTCACTGGAGGGAAACTCACCTGTTGCAGGTTGCAGCCACGTGGGACTGGGCTTGTGGAGGACCCGCCCTGTGCTGGGGGGGAGACTTGGAGGAGGAGTCAGCAGAGGCAGGCGTGGAATCACCCAACCTCACACTCATCCAGGACTAGCCCCCGATGCTGGCACCATCAGCAGGTTCCTATTGATTGCCTCATTTGATCTGTAGAAGGTCATGTGCGGTGTGCAGGCTGGTGGCTGCCACCCACCGTACAGACAGAACAGGGCTGCGGCATGCCTGGGTCACATGGAGTGGGGGCTGCCTGACCCCTGGCCAGCTCTGTCTGCATCTGCCATTTCCTGGTGTACTGTAGGTGACCCAATGCCTGTGACTCAAGGGGGCCCCTAGATGAAAGCAGAGGGGCTGTGGGGCACCTCACAGGGCATGGTCAAGGCTTTCCCAGGCATCCAGCCAGTCCAGCATGGTGTGGTGCTAAGGTCCCGGGGCAGGCTGTAGGAGGCTGGCACCACCTTCCTGGGTGGACAGCATGAAGCACTGTGGTTCAGACATCTTCCTGTGCTGGGTAATACAGCAGCCAGTCTCCCTTTCACAAGTTCCCAGCCCTCTGTCACCAATGCTCCCAGCCCTTGTCCGTGCCCACCATCACCCTCAGTGGGTGTGATGAATCAGCCGCACACTCCCTGGGAGGAGAGGGCAAAGGCCACGATTCCAAAGATACCAGACTCCTGCTCAGGAGGGGGGCGGGGGCAGGCAGTGGGAGGGGCACTGTGGGAGCAAGCCCTGGGATTGGGAGGCTGGAGGCCTTGGGGGGTTGGTGTCTGTCAGCATGCAGTGAGCTCTGCAAGTGAAAGGTGGGGGACACCAGCCATAGATGAAGAGGCACCCCGAGTGTGTTGAGGGGCAGAGAGTACCGAGGAGCCCTCCAACCTGGAGTGGCCCGTGGCTGGAGCACGGAGACTTTCCCACAGATACGGGTTCACTGCCGTTTCTTAAGTAGAGCCTCGTGCGGTGGCCACGCACTTCTGGAGCAGGGTGGTCATCAGTGGTGGTGGAAGGTCCCTGGTGAAGGCCAGTGGGAGTCAGGGGCCCTTCCTTCTTGCACAGCCCCCACTGTGCCATGGGCAGGACACCTGGCGGTTGAAAAGCCAGGTGTGCCTGAGGCCGGCAGGCATGAAGAGGCACCTGAGGTCAGTGGTTGACAGGAGTGAACGAGGAAACAAGGAAATGGGCAGGGCAGGGGGTGTGGCGTGCACTGGGCCAAGTCCCAATAAGTGCTCTGTCCACCATGCAATCCTGGCCTTGGCCCAGTGCCTGAGAACTGTCCCTGCTAGGACCTGGGCCACAGCTCAGTTCTGATAGCCCCTGGGAATGAGCCTGAAACCCAGAACCCATGAGGGTGGCCCCATTTAAGCTGCTCAAATGACACTTAAGATGACAGAGGACCTTCAGTGACCCTCCTCCCTTTCCCTTCCTCCGCCCTCCCTCCAGCTCCCCCCTTCTCCCTTGACCTGTGTTAGGGAGGGGCATGGCTATCATCCCCACTTTGCATATGGGAAAGATGAGGCCCACAGAGGGGCTCAGAGGTGCCACCACCACTTTCTCCCTCCCTTTCTCCTGTACCCACTAAAGTCACATTCTGTACCAGGAATAGTCTGAGGTTGGGTTTTGGGTCTTCCCAAGTAGAGCCAACTTTCCTGGAATTGCCATTCACGTGAGTAAACAGCCGGCCCTGCTGGGGAGCCAAGCCCCTTCTCTTTGATAACAAACCTGGCATCTGAACCCTGAGTCCTTCGCAGGTCGCTGTGGTCACAGGCTGGGCTCTGCAGTGGAGCTGGAGTGAGGCCCAGGAAGGTATGCAAAGACTCTAGACTTTGGGCTGAGGATCTTCAACCCTCCATGACCCTATGGGACAGCGGGCCCCGGTTCTATCCAGTTCATTTGATGAACATGTCCTGAATGGCCACCTGCTGCTACTGACCAAGTGGTCTGGAGGTGTCCTGATGAGGTACAGAGGAAAGGTTGTCACCTGTTGGTAATCCCAGGGGCCAGAGCGACGGGGACAGTGAGGAAGAGCTGGCTTGCAGACTGAGCTTGCTGCAGCCACGTGCAAGATGTGGGCTCAGAGCAGTGCAATGAGGGCGTGGCAGGCAGCTTGAGATTCCTGTTGGTTGGGAGGGCCAGGGTCACTGTACCCTGCAGAGCCCCCCCCCCCCCCCCCCCCCGGGGGGGGGGCGCCCCGCCCCCCCCCCCCCCCCCCCCCCCCCCCCCCCCCCCCCGCCTGCATAGCTGGCCTGGCTTCTGCCCCTGCTTACCAACACTGCCCACACATCGCTTGACATTTAAAGACTTGGCTCCCTACTGCCCTACACAGGAGCAGGCGAGGGCTGCTGGACGGGAGGGAGGACTTGAGGGATTTTGTGCAGGCAGTAGAGGGGCCCCTTCCTTGGCTTTCACATGGTCCAGGATTCTCTTCTCAAACACACTTGCATTCTTACTACTCAGGATCCACCCCAGGCAGCTTCAGGGTCCATTCATTCTGGCCAGGGCTTGCTCCTGATGGGCTGCAGGTGGCTCACAACTAGGCTCTGCCCTGCGCCACCTAGAGATGGCTAGGAGACATGGCAGGCCCAGGCTGGCCCTTGAGCACAGGCCCGTGGTCTCCTGCCTCACCACCCTCCCGTCTGTTCTGCCTTCACCACCTGGAGGCATGGGGACCATGCTGGCTCAAGGAAGTAAGTAGGTGAAGCAAGATGGGCATAGGAAGCTGGGGGAGCGGAGGGCTGAGCCCGCCCTAGGAGGGGTGCTGGGGGCTCCTGCACAGGCCCAGCCCAGTGTTCCTGCACCAGGCTGTCCCCTGGAGACTCCTCACCATGCACCACCCTGCATCTCCCCTGGCCACTTCCCAGGCCCTGCTCACCCCAAACCCAGTCCCATGCCTCCCCCCTACTCTGCTCCCCATTCCTCTGGTCCCCGGCCCTGTTCTGTGCCTCTAACCCTGCTTCCCCCGTCACCCCTCATGTCCCCACCTGGCCATGCCTGGCTCCAATGTTCTTATGTCCCCAACAAAGCAGCACGGGCATGGGTTTGGAGCCTGGACCATGTGCTGCTCTCTGCAAACTGGACAAAGCCTCAGCCCGGCTGTTGCTGTGCCCCTGGCTTGCCTCTGTGCCTGCCCCCACGCTGCCTGTGGCACCAGCCCCCCATCCCCCCATGGGACTTCCATCCAGCTCCTTCCCAGGCCATGACCTCCAGGTCCCAACTGCCCAGAGGTGCTGTTTGGGCTGGCGACCTACCCACCATTGCCATCCTGGTCTGCAGGGTGCCAGGGATGTAGGACAGGCTCTGTGTCCCCTGTCCTCAGTGCTTGGACTGGCGCGGTCAGCAGAAACTGTTCTGATTCTTTGGCTGTGTTCCCTGGGAGTGAACGCACGGTGCGGCTTCTTCCCTTCGTTCCAGGAGCAGCTGTGGGAAGTCTGGGGAGGGCATTGTGCTACGGGGCATCCTGGTTGCCGCTGGTTGCTCAAACAGGGGTCATGTCCCTCACTATCCACTCTGCTTCTCTCACACTTGCTCAGAGCTTTTGGTTGATAAAATGCCTTCAAATCCAATGTCTGGGGGGATTCCCACCGCCTCCCTGAGGGACACATGGGCAGGGTCCTCACCTCTCCTTCACAGGAGGGAAAACAGGCTGGCAGTATAAGGACATGACGGTGGCCACTGTAGTCATTAGTGGGGGACTAGAACACAGCTTGCAGATGGTCAGTCTGGGCCCCCTCGGTGACCTTGTGCAGTTCTGCCTGAGTCACCCGGGGCCTGCTGGCTGTGAGTCACATGGACTTGTCACTCCCTGCACATTTGCCAAGGGTGGGGGAGGGGACCCCCGTGACGCAGAGGATCCTGGGACCCAGCTTGCATGGTCGAGGGAGGAACTGTACGGCTGACTCTATTTCCGACCAGCTGTGTGACCTTGGCTGAGGTCCGGCATGATGGAGGCAACAGTGAGTGGGCTCCAGACCCCATGCCCCTCTCACTAGCAGTGGACTTTCCTGTCACTTGGTCTCATGAAGCTCCAACTTTCTCATCTTTAAAAATGGCCCTGGAGGCGACTACATTGCATCCCGAGCAAGACGCTGTGGTCTGCTGAGCTTTGAGATGCCAGACAGAGTCGTAGACTGCACATTGGAAGGGGACTGAGGGGTTGGGGAGCCCTGGGCAGGAGTGGAAGAGGTTTTCCTGGGTGAGCCCGAGCATGATGGCTCTGCTGTCTCCCCCAAAGCCTCAGTAAAATCAGTAACATTCTTTAAAGTGTTTGGTTTGATTTCCAGTTTCTCCTGGATGCCACAAAGTTGATCAATTTTAATTAAAGTTCTTTTCCTTCTGAGGATTCCTTTGCCTCCTTGCCCTTCCCCTTTTCCAACATCACTACTTGGCAGCAGAATGTGCATGTGGATTTAATGGAAGGGAAAAAGGGAGACAAAGCAGAACAGGTTTGGGTACATCCTGGCTACTTTTCCTCAGTTGGATGGGAGGGTTGGCTGTCGGCTGCCTGTCTGGGCAGAGGGCTGGGCACATTTCTCGTCTCTGGGGGTCACACTCCCTCCCCTTTCTCCTGCCTTTCTTTCTGGTGAACCTGATGGGGTGGAAGTTTCTGGTGTATAGCATTTACCTGACCTGGGAACCCAGAGGAAAGATAGCCAGCTTTCCTCCCGGTCCAAAGCCCACACCAGGAAAGAGGACTCGGGGATCCAGGAAACACCAGGTCCTGAAGTTCAACTCAGAGCACGTTCTGAGCGGCCACAGCATGGAAGACTGACCTTGACCGTGTTTGGGGGAGGGCATGCCCAGCTGCACTTCTTCACAGACACAGTGAGCAGCTGGTCTACTGCTGAGCATATTCCCATTTTCTGGGACATTCCTGTAAGAGGGAAGGGAGCCTGCAGGGCAGGCGGTAGGTGGGAGTAGATGCCAACTGCTAATCATTGTCAATAAACAGAAGTAAGAGCAGTTTATATCTGGTCTTTAACTTTCTTAATTTTCAGGACTATCACTGAGAATTTTTAAGCTGAACCTGAAGATGTACATATTTGTTTATAAATTATATACATATTCCTCTATCAATTCATGTGTCACTAGACAGGGTCCAAGGAGGTCCCTCCAAGGAGGTAGTGGGACCTCAATTTGGCCTGGGCAGGTTCTTGACTTAGGCTACTAAAAAGAATTTCAGGATGTGTTGAAAGTAAGTTACAAGTGAAGATTAACTAAAGGATAGCAAAGGGATATGTACCCCCAAAGCAGGGTGTGGGTGCCCCTCACTTCTCAGAGAAGATAAGCCTCACGCCCAAGGTTGAGCTCTGTACTGTAAGCAGGATTTTCCTGGGAAGAAAAGTGCAGATTCTCAGTCAGGCTTTTGTGAAAATCAAGTCCCATGTCAATCATTTGAGATTTGGGGTCCCAAATTTTAAGCAGTCCAGCTGTAAATCAGTTGTGAGCGCACTGTGACATTTGAACTTACAATGTTTCAGTTCTAGTCCATCTTGTGCAAGATGTGCAGCAGGTTTATTCATCTAATTAGAGAGATGATTGAGCAGGGTGAGTCCTGCTCATAGGTCTGGGTTCCATCCGGCAAAGTTCTCTTTCTCTCTCTCTCTGAGAGCCCACCTATCTCATATGTACTGAGTAATAGTGAGGGAGATGAAGAAGGCGTGGGCAGCCAGGGCGAGAT